GCAGATATAGCCCCTGTGTCTCCAAGTAATAACCTACATAATGTAAAAAAAAAGTTGTTTTGTTAGGCTCAGCATATGTGTAGCCTATGTAATACAGTGTGCTTGACATTTATATTTTCTGTTTTCATGCTCAAATAGTAAGTAAGTAAGTAAGTAAAATTTATTTGTATAGCACTTTTCTCAGATGAAGATCACAAAGTGCTTCACAACAAAAGAAAGCATACATTACAAATAATGTGCATACATGTGACTCTCTGAAAATGACTGAGTGCACAGATCCTGGACTTTTTGCTTCCACATTTGTGATATGGAACATAGCGTCACACACCATCTAAGACATTTTAGTCGGTCAACAGCAAATTTTTAGATTTTTTTTTAATTTGATATATATTGCACATATACCTGCACATTTACACTGTGAACATAATTTCTGTTCACAAAATCCCCTTCATTTACCTCTTTTCCACCAAAACAGAACTGGTTCGGAACTGGTGCTGGTTCAAAGTTGGTTCGGAGTTGGTTCAACTTGCGAACCCGTTCCCGTCCTGTTTGTTTTTCCACTGACTAGAGCGCCCAGGGAACGACGTCTAGCACGTCGCTAGAAACGCTTGCAAGTACATTACTTTGGGATTATCTCTAACACGTATACCAAGAAGGCTTTGAAAACAATTGAAATATGTAATTCTTTTAATCTTTTTGTTTGGTATGTAATCTTTTCTGATAAGTTATGTACCCCTGTCTTGTGTCTTTTTTTCTTTCCATTTGTTCTACAGGGGTTGGACAATGAAACTGAAACACTGGCCAATGTTGGAGGTTTCACATCTCTATGCCTGGAGGGCAATCTTCAGAGTGAAGCACGGGTGGATCAGTGATGGTTTGAGCTCCAATATCATGACAATCCTGATTGTATTTGATGGACACGACACTGCCGAGGACTACCAAACCCTTCTGGAGGATCATGAGCACCTGATGCTCAAACCGTGTATCAACATGATCATGCACCAACACACACAGCAAGACTCATAATCCCTCTGGTCACTGTGAGGGACTTCTATCTGTCATTCCCAAGATGAATTGGTGCTGTATTTGGATGCAAAATGAGGCCCTCACCATACTAACAAATTATTGTGTTGTAAAACCAAGTGTTTCAGTTTCATTGTCCAACCCCTGTATATTGTGACTGTTTTCTTCTTTGCTTATAATGTTTAAAAGAAAAAAAATAGAAACGGTTGCACCAAGTTCCATTGTGTTTCTGCAAATGTTTCTCCTGGCTTTGCGATGGTCAGAAAAGATATTTAGAACACATCTAAACCCACCCCAGCCCCCGACGTAAGCATGACGTGGTAAAAGAATGGTTCTAGTCCAGCAAAGAGTTGGTGCCGTTTTGGAACCAGTTTTCCCGGCCGAGAAACGGTTCTTTGGCTGTCGAAACACAAAGAACCGGTTCGCATGCAGGCACCGGCTCCGAACCGGCTCTCAAAATGCTTTGTTGGAAAAGGGGCTATTGAGGCCTTGATGAAGCCTGAAACAAAGGCTACCATAAATCATTATTGGCAAGGTCATAATTGCATGATTCTCATTTATAATATACAACCTTTGGGTCTGGAAATACCACAAAAAAAACCCTAAATGGCACGACAGGCAGCACTTTTTACAAAGTTCACTGTATCTCCAATATTGTGAAGCAAAGCATCACTCGCAAATAATTTCTGGGAAATGCACACAGTTTGTGCTGTTGTTAAATCCCAATTCCGACGAGTTGAACATTAAATGTGTTGTTCCAACAAATAAATGATGCAAATGACACTCTCACAAATCACGACAAAACCGATCTCTCAAAATGTAGCCTACACTATCGCGCTGCGCTAAAGGACTTCCCGGATCACCTCCGCTTATAAAGCAGCAATCTAATCCCGTTAACCTGAAATAAGCCTGATCGCGAGCAGGTTCAAGTTTACGCACCTATTGCTATGACAGCAAGTCCAGGATGAGCGTTGAAGAACCAAACAATCCAAGATCGTGCCAAATCGCCAACAATCAAATCCAGCTAACTGAATTAGCGATGTAAGGTACCTGTTTCTGAACCAATATCCTTTCAGACAAATTGGCCAGGATGAAAAAAAAAAAAAAACACCAGTAAAAGACAGACCCCCTTGTCAGTCACCGCTGCTAGCTAGCCATAATCCAACACAACATCTCCATACAGATACGTAGGCTTGATTAGTTTTCATTGACAGTGCATATTTGTTATCTTGAGTGCATACACCAAAGCAATAAGGTTTTACAGAATAATTGCGGTATGTGAACTCGCTGTTCTTAACATTACATGTATTTCAATCTTTTATTTAATGCAGAACTTTACACAGGTAACAGTTCTGTGTTTTTGTTTTGGTCAGGCTATGTTCCACTATACCAACATCCCATTCTAGACCAACAGACTATCACAACCAACGCATTCTCATCCTTTAACGTCATATAGAGCGCTATATGACAAAACGGCGCTATACTACGCTAAAGGCACCCGTTATCGTTAATATAACACGTGCTGTGAGGGCTAAGTTTAGGTGTGGGGTAGGGTGTACGTGTCATATTCACGCTAAAGGATTTATAACGTCTTGGGTTCGCGTGTTATATTAACGATAACGGGTGCCATGTGCGTAGTATAGCGCCGTTTTGTCATATAGCGCTCTATATGACGTTAAAGGATGAGAACGGGCTGATCACAACATATCCTAGTCTTCCCAGCAGGGGCAAAGCTACAACATCAGTGTGCGCGCTTTCACCAGAAGAGTGACAGAATGATGGCAGGGAGAGGATATAGGCACAACACCTGCAGCTTTTCATGCTCCATGCCAGACATTTTGAAAACATCAGCTGACCAGCTGAATGTCTGGTAGAGCATTCAAGTAACAAGTCAAAACAATGTCTTGCTGTTACCTCACCAAACCAGTTTTAAAAGACACCAGCATTGGTCTTTAAATGCTAGAAATATTTTAGAAATATCAATAATGTATTATTTAAAGATGCATTCAGTAAGTTTTTACATTCAGATGGCTCTTACTTGTTCCAATACTACCAGTGTTATTTAATTTTATACTGACACCTACTGGAAGGGATGCATGACGTTTGTTTACTTACTGCTGCCTCTTCATAACCTTAAGATTTTATCTTTTGTTACTTTTCAATATAATACACATCTATGTAATTATCATTCTTGGAGTCAATCTCAGCCATTTTGTACATGTTGTTAGTGTGTGCTGGTACATGACTGCCCGTCACAATCCACTGGTCTGTGTGAATTTGAGTTGGATGCATTTTTCAGTGTGGCAACTGTGACCATCATGTGTTTATGCTTGGCGCTTGATGTTCCGACATTTATTCCCAATCTGTGGTGTGAGAGCTGCAGATTGTCTCATGACTCTAGCAAGGAAGGCTTGTTTGGACATTTATTTTTCCTTTCAAACTCACTGTGTTTGGACTGACTGGTGGATCGCACATATATTGATCCATACCATCACACTATCCTGTTGACTCAGTAGTAATGTTGTGACTATTGTATTTACACTACACTGTATGTTTGTTGTTACATTATCTGATTTTTTCCACTGTAAAAAAACAGAAAAGGCACTGGTAATTTTCTGCCAGGACATAATTAATGATAATTTGGCATTTTCTTTAACTCTAAGACACAGCGTATTGAATGTATTTTCAATATATGGAGTAAAACACCTGTAAAATATCAATATGGGAAACTCCATATTAACACGCGTTGTGCACATGGTGCCCTATTTTATGGACTTTTATAGAGTGTTGGTTTGTTTAGATGCATTTTTATGTTTGCCTTGAGCACTGGCTGAGTGCACTATATAAATTAAACAATTAATTACTTTACAACGTGCCGCATTCAAATTGAAAAAAAAAAACAATCGAATAACTACAATATAAAATAAATACAAGCTATCACAACTAAATGTTTTTGTAAAGCAAACTGTGAAAGTTGAGTGATTCATTTTACATTATTCACTACAGTCTTGCTTTTTGCTTACTGTTCTCCATATATCCACTTTATTTTGCAATGTGGATGCAAGTTATTTTTTGTGAATGTGCAAGACTTCAGTTAGCAGCTAGGTAACTAGAAGAATAACAAATTTTCCCTACAAACCAGTGTGTTTACAATTATGATAATAAATGAAAAAATATAATGACAAATAGGCTACCAGTTTGCAATACAATATCTGGAAGTGGATGACACTGGAATGAATGCTATGATATGATACGATATGATAAGACAAACTTGTGTGTCATTTAGAATTCCATTTTTCCCACAATGACTTTGCTTGGTCATTCATGTGCTTGCAACTTTTAATTAAGATATTTCCAACTTCACTTGAAGGGCATATAACTTTTTAAACTATGTCACTGGTCATGTGAAGTCAATATGGTGATAGGCCAACATTTGAGGGCTGCACCCAATTCATGTCAAATAAAAAAGCTTATTTTGATGGGTTATGACATTAATCTTCAGCTCATATGAGTGTACATCTGCATAATTTAAATAATATTTCTGAAAAGTGCTGTTCATTTTTTTTATATAAACTTCTTAATTAGAAAAAGTGTGCACCTTTAAGTAACAACCCGCCAACTAATCACGCCATGAAACGGATACGTCGCTAGAGACCTATGTCTGAAGTGTTTACTCCCTGTGTAAACAAATACTGCAGCTAACGTTGAAAAACAAGTTTGTAACCAATCCGAATAGTTACCGGTGCATTAATCAGAAAAGTTTAAACATTTTATATTCGTCAGTCTCATTGCTCCCAGAGAAATCTGAAACGACATTTTTGTCAAGTCTAATGATCTGGTGGTCACATGGTTCGCGTCCATGCGGTTGAAGCTGTACTGAACACAGAAAGAGTTCGGGAGGAGAGGAACACCGTACGGGAGAGGAGAATTCATTATGATTATATTTCAACCAGACTCATGTAAGAATTCTTAAGATGTCAAGGTAAAGCGAAATAAAATGCGTTTTGAAATCATGAAAGCCGGCAAGGTGAAATTATGCGCGTCACTTTGTATGTGGCTTGGAATAGTTACCTGGATAGGAAATGTTAAGTTGTATTTTTGGTCGGTTTTTGTCCAACAACCCACTGAGCGAGGCTCTGGCGTCGTGCTCTCGTTTACAAACGAGCAGGTAAATGTCTCTGAAAGACACGCGCCATGGAACGCAGGGTTGCAAGACGGCAAAAGTTTTCGTACGCGCTCCCCTTTGGATAACGTGATCGAGCACCGGGTCTTCTGGAGCGCGTGGCTGGAAGGTCTCTCCACTCGTGTTTTTGACGTGGAGCACGAGAGGAAGTGGAGAGATCATGTTCGGTACGCTCGGGTGGTTGTGCTGGAAGCGGGCTGCGGCAGACCAACAAACCGCCTCGCGACCTTCGCCGACGGCACGAGAGCATGCGTGCGATACGGCATCGACGCAGATCAAGTGCTGGGCGAAACCCTCTCTTATTATCTGGCTGAACTGCTTGGGATTTCCAACCTTCCACCCTTGGCGCTTTCCAAACTGAACCTGTCGAGTGAGCAGTGGGCAAGTGTGCGAGAAAATATCGAGGCGTTAGAATGGTCGCCAAATGCCATTGTGTCTCTCACGGAGTTCATCCCAAATGTCACTGGAGTGTTTATTCCATTACATTTACGAAAACAGCAAGACAGTCTTCAACTCTCTGCCGAGACTATATCGAACATGACTCTAACATATCTCGTTGAATTAACGCAGTGGAGTGATCTAATCTTATTTGATTATTTAACAGCCAACTTTGATCGAATTGTCAGTCACATTTTCAGTCTCCAATGGGACGCGCGCGTAATGGAGAGGACAACTAATAACCTTCTCAAAACAGTCAGTGGACATTTGCTTTTTATTGATAACGAGGCAGGGCTTATTCACGGATACAGGGTGCTTGACCTATGGGAACGATATCACACACTACTGCTAAGTTCGTCGTGTATATTTCGGAGAAGTACAGTCCGGCGAATATCTGAGATGAAGCGCTCTGGAAACAGCGCAAAGCTGCTGTGTGAACTGTACCGCGCGAGGGAACCGTTGGCGCGCGAGCTGGGCTCTCTGTCCGAAGAGCACGCGCTTACATTGCAGAACAGGATTGATGCTGTTTACAAACATATTAAGAAGTGCACGGAAATCATGTAGACATCTGGGTGCTCATCTCAAGTTTTTCTATAGGTGCTACACATTGATCTATTAATATTCGTTGCTGACTGTACTGTTAACTTCATCATATGTGTCATTCCAATGTAGCCTACTGTTTTGTAGATTTAATGAATAACGTGACAGAATTGGACTATATTGTCGAGGGGCTGATACACCTCTCCTGCTGAAAAACAAACAAACAAAGAAACATCTTAAACCAGCTTTTTCTAGTGTGTTGGTTTTCCAGGCTGCTCTTTTTGGTTGGTTTTAGGAGGATTTGGAGCATTTTTCAGCTGATAAGACCGGGAGACCAGAACACCAGTTTGGCCAGGCAAAGCTGGTTTTAGATGTTTCTTCTTCTTCATGAGGGTCCATTTTGTACGATTAATAATAATAAAAAGATTAATCTTACTTGCAGTTAAAAAAAGTGTATCTTCGTTTTCCTTTCAGGTTTCAGCCTGTGTGAAATTTTAGCTGTTAGCTGCAGGGTTGGGGAAGTGTTGTAGCATTTTTTTTCTTTTTTTTTTTTTTCTTTTTTTTTTGCACTGACTTAAATTAGCATGTGTCAAGGGGAAGAAACTTTCCCTAAATTGTGTAAATGCATTTCTAAAGGAATTGAATAGACTCACACCCTGACGAAGGCTTGTAGCCGTAACGCGTAGGTGTGCACTGTCACCAGTTTTAAAAGCCATGATGAATTAAAAACTTTTTCAACATTATTCAAGTGCCTTGGAAAATCTTTTTTCTTTTTTCCATTCAAAGAGCACTGAGATAAGGGATTCACACCCCGTGCAGCACTTTTTTTTTTTTTTTTTTTTTTTTTGCATTCTTTGCTTTGTTATTTAAATGTCAGACAAATCACATCTGGTGAGTTGCAACACAAAGAAAGTGCACAACATTTAACATATTCAATGCATTTTATTTCTTTTAGTGAACAAACTGAGTTCCCTTTTCGAGGGAACTCAATGCCACGTTCCCAACGTCTCTTTCCCTTCTCATGGAACCATGGTTACAGTCGTAACCTAGACGTTTTTTAAAAATGTCAGTCTTTGCTTCGTCCCATTGTGTGCAAAATTTGTATGTCCATTAGAAGTAAATTTCAGTTTTACATCCCCATCAGTTCAGCCAGAAAAAATAATTTATGACTGCCCACTGCTGCTTATGAATGCTGGGACAGAAATATTCTACTATTTGACTGATCTGCAGGATTGATGTGCTTTATGAACCCCTCCCTGCAAAACAATAACATGCACTCTTTTCTCAGTTTAGAGTTATACTTTTAGTTTATTTGCGCACATTTTTATTGGCAGACATGAATAATAAATACATACATCAAAATATTTCTTCCCTGTCTCTAATATTTGTATTCATATATTTTTAAATCTGTCAACTGTGTTCAGCTTCATCCCATGAATCTGATGTGACAGAGGCACGGTGAACTGTCACTAAATATTAAAATAAAAACTTAGAGCACACTTTCATGAGAGCATAAGATTCTCGTCAAAAGGTGCAAGTATTGAGAGAGCGGTTTGAATGAAACAAAAATGGTATCTCAGACAGTACATTCCTGCATTTCCCTATAGACTCTCAGTCCTTTCATGGCTTGTGTTGAGGGGGATTTGGTTTCAAATGCATTTGTAGCTTTCATCAACATCACTCATAGCCTCTAGGCTGTTTTATCTTGACTGCTTTGGGATCAGGAACACTAACAACAAAGTGAGCCTTTTAAATTCTTGTTCTTGCCACATATCTTTTAAATATTTCATGTTGGTGTGACTTGGAGCATACTGTAGCTTATATATAGCTAGTTGGAGGAACATAGAAGTGGTTAAATGAAGGTCAGAGGTTAACTAGAGGGGAATGTTAATACCAGATCAGCCACCTGCCCTATCAGTCAGTTTTCATGTCAAACACACACCGCCACCTCAGCTAAATATGTTTATTCTTACAGTTTACAGATCATAAACTACAGCAGTAATATACTGAATTATACCAATTTCAAATGTCATTTATACGACAACAGAGTTTTAGGGACCTGAAAACGCAAACTTTTAAGAAACGGATTTCAAAATGCAAGTGGTAAAAACGATTTTGTTTACGTCTCCGTGTAAACTACAAAAATGAGAATTTGTGAAAAAAGATGACGTCAGGCATTTTACATGTTTAATAGTCAAAAGGCGTGTAGTGTTTTACAGTGACATCGCCAACTACTGACCTGGCATGCATGTTTTCACAGATCCGTGATCATTTTTACAATACCGTTGCCTGTATGCGAAAAAACCCAAGAAAAAATGTTTTTAGTACATTGTTGTTGTGTAAGTCTTTAAACTCTTTCTGTGGGATTCTAATGTTGTACGCTGTGATGAAGGTTGCTCTTTTGAAGACATTAGTAAAAAATAAAATTTTATAAATGTACACCATCATTTAAAAGTTTGTGGACAGTTAGTTTAGCCTAGAAATAGATGCACCAAAAATTATTTCGCAGCCAGTGTGGTGTAGCAACTTTCCATAGACGTTTTAGCTGGAAAAAACAAACTCTGGTCAGGCCAATCACATAGTGTATAGAGTCGGCGGGCGGGCTTAACATAATGACGACAAAGTTGCGACGGTTCACTGACCACTACTCTGGATGATTTTAACTTAAGCTTTTCTTTGAAAACAGAACAAAGAACGGCACTTGAGTCATTTAAAAAAAATAAAAATAAAATTCCGACTGGATACGGTAAAAGTTGAATATATCAACTTGCTCCGCTGGTGGGGAAGGCACGTCCACACATCAAGTGTTCTTTTATGTTTTGCACGTCCGAGTCAGAGAAAAAAATAGACGCCACCCAGAAAGCTGTTGTAATGGTAGCATTCACTTTATTTCATGTTTTTCATGTTAATCTTCTGTTAGCAATGCTAGCAACGTTAGTAATTGCGCTCAAAACAACCGATTCCCACACCTACAGTACAAGTGATTGTATGAAAACAATTCATACTTACAAGTCACACAGGGCGCAGCCATCTTGAATTACGAAACTGAATCATTGAAATCCGAGGAAAGGGGGCGTGTTGCTAGGTAACGTCTGTCTTCCGATTCGGATCTCCGAGATGGATAAATAATAGAACGCACCATCAGTCGTCACCTTCTTCATTGCTCTGATTGGTTGTAGCGCTATCCAATTGCTTGCAGAGAGAATTCCCAGGTCTGGCATGCCAGGCTACAGTTAGATGTCTTTTTAAATAAATACTATTATTATTATTTTTTTTAAATATTTTTTCCAGCATGGGATGCATTCAATTGATCAACAATGACAGTAACAAAAAAGATTTGAAATATTTCAATTTCAAATGAATGTTGTTCTTCTGAACTTTCTATTAATCAAAGAACCCTAAAACTTTTTCAAGGTTCCCACAAAGATATTTAACAGAACAACTGTATTAAAAATGTGTCTTGAGCAGTAAATCAACATATGATTCCTGAAGGATCATGAGACACTAAAGACTGTAAAGACTAAAAAAAGGAAGCCTTCACAGAAATAAAGGACACTTGTGTATTAACTATATTCAAATAGAAGACGTATTTTAAATTGTAATATATTTTACAATGATCAAATAAATGCCATCTTGGTGTAGCATAAAAGACCTATTTCAAAATTATAACAAAAAAAAAAATCTTACCAACCCAGAATTTTTGAGTGTACTCCCATCTCTAAACTTGAAGCTGAAATAGTAGTGCCAATAGTATGTTCTTTTGTATATGAAGCAGGTCCATAAGCATTAGCCTACATAAAGGCCTTGTTCTCTTTTTCAAAGGTCTGTGGCTTTGTGCTGTAGCTTTTATTTTATACTGATGTATTGAGCATCTTTTATTTTACATTTTCCTAACTTCTTCAAAAATGAGAGCAATTCTCTGTTGTGAGGGTGTCAAGTATGATTAAAATATTAACCAATTTCCCTCTCTATGGAACACAAATAATTTACTCAGCCTCCAGTTGAAAAGCTTCCCCCTCTCTGTGTACCACCAGCACTGATGGAACCAAATAAACCTCATCTATAATAATGGCAAGTACATGGAGCCGAGTGGAAGTGTAAGAAGTTTGAGTTGGATCACCATCGATCAGAACAGACGTGGGAGTTGCAGAACTGCAAGGTGGGTGTAAATGTGGACTTATGGAGAGTTTAATGACTCAGTTTTTCAGACTTTTGAGAACTCTGGTTTCATTTTTCTACATTTGTTTGATTTATTTATTTTCATTTTGACAGGAAAAAAATATTTTTGTGTTTCTTATCTGTTAGGATTTCAAGAGAATTATTTTCTCACGAATGCACTGTTTGTTGTAGTCAATTTGCATTTGGAGACACACAAACACATGTACACACATGCAATTCATGAGTTACTATGGAAGAACAGAGGCAAGGCCAAAGCACTCCGTAGCAGACTGGCAGTAATTGGCATTTCTCCCTCTCTCTCTCTCTCTCTCTCCCCAGGCGCTATTTTGCTACCGCACTGAGGAAAGAGGAAAAGCTATAAAAGTAAATGGGAGAATAGCACACAACACATTCCCTCCCCTGTGTTTCCCTCCGCTGATCTCAAAGCACATTCAGCACAGAGGAAAAATGGCTCTTTCACGAATCCTATAATGGTACAGAAAAGATGAAGTCATCTCTTTTGTTAAATGTTAAGTAATGGCCTCATCCACATAGTCTCACTCGCAATGCTCGACACATAAGCCCTGTATTCTTTCGTAAGATGTTCTTACTATAAAGAGATTTTTTTTTACATTTATTTTGAAAGAATCTCTTATGCTCACCAAGGCTGCATTCATTTTATCAGATAAATATAGTAACACTGTATTTTTAGCATTATTACTCCAGTCATCAGTGTCACATGGTCCTTTAGAAATCATTCTAATATGATAATGTCTTCACTGTCAGTCTATTAATGTCTCCTTGCGGAATAAAAGTATTAATTAATATATATTATTATATGTATTATATATATATATATGTATGAAGTGTGTGTGCTTTATGCTGGCATATCATGTAAAAAATATATCAGATATACAAAGTAGGTCACATGTATGTATGTATGCATATAATTTATTTACAGTTTTTCTCAGTCACTTTGGTGCATTTCTCACATCACTATTTACATTTGCACAACAATTAGTTCAACCTCCACAACATTTAGTCATGTGTGCACATCATAGTAGCAGTTTCTCAAATTGCAAATGCTTTTGGACATGCATCAATTGCTTCCATACAACTCTCTGCTGTTTTATAGCATTATCATTTGCTTATGTCATATCAGTCAAAATTAATTATAATGCTGAATAGTCATTCCGTATAAAACTAATAGTCCTCATTACATTGCTTGAGTCATCACATACAAAAATGTTGAACTAGTTGTCAAAATCTGTCAAGCAATTGACAGAAAAAAACTTGTTTTATCCTAAATTGAACAATTTCTCACAGGTGAACCTCAGCTTTCACTGATGAGAAGAGATGTGCATGAATGATTTACAGTATATGTTGTATGTTCAGTTCCAATATGTACTGTGATATTGTTTACAGTTGTGCACCGATCTACCCAAAGGGAGTTTATGTTTGTTGTAAATAAGGGTGTATTTGTTCTTTTGCACAATGTTGTGAACAAATTAGAATTGCAAAGAGCATATGCAGTAAAAATTTTACATACTGTAAACATACATATTCAGTGTCTTCTACTCAATTA